AACAACCATGAGCCTGTCAGGTACAACAACAACAACTTCTAGTGGACGGACTTTAATTCAGGGAGCTATGAGGGAGACTATGCTGCAGCCATTACAGCCTGCTTTACTGCTGCAGGTTGAAGAAATCTACAGGAGCAATTCCTAAAAACTTTTTTCTACCTTTTCTTCAGGTAGGCTTCAAAATATGTAAATGACAACCAGCTACCCCACTACTCGTGACTATTAAACATTTGATTTGGTGCAAAAACGGCATTAAAAAACTGAGAAAACCACAAAGGTACAAGACTGTGTGCATGTTTTTCTTCCTGAGTCAAGGAACTACACATCCCACAATCCATTGCAAATGACACCTCTTCTTAAAAGTAACTTAAGTCGTGTTTATTGACTGTTACATTCACTGCATCAGAACAAGATTATTAGTACATTTCCTGTTAGCTACCTAACTAGCTCGCCTGCTAGCTAACTATCGGTTCACATACAGCACTAAGGGGTGGGAAACATTGCCATGGTAACAGCGAGCTCCACCAATCAGAGATGTAGCTGTGACACTATGATGGTGGGTAGTGTAGTTCTTTTTCCAGATAACGTGAATAAACCATGTTGTTCTTCAAACGAGGTTGATATCAGAACTCGTGTCTCCTCCAGGAGCGTTAACCATCGCTTCTCACTCGGGAAGCTCGTGGTCAGTCTACCTGTGATGGTTATGACATCATGACTAATAATCAAATCGGACATGGAGAAAATCAACGTGATTTTGGTATGTGAACATCACTCTTGAGCTCTGTAGGTCCCAGGATTAAAAATAGCTGAATTCACTTTGAAATGCATATGTGACCTTCTTCCATTTACTCCGTACCTTCAGTTCTCTTCAGCTGCACAAAAGAACTCTCCATTAGTACGTCCCTTCAACAGAAACATCCAATAATAAAATCAAAGGCACATTTGGCCGTATGCGTGCGTGCATCATGATAGAGGGAATGATCATTACGGTGTCGATGTAACCACATGACTCCTGACACAGCAGATGGAAATGGACTCAGAAGGTCTTTTGGACAGTGTTCGGTGGGTCATAGGTAAGTGGCACCTGTCTCAAATTGATGATGGACGGGTTTGGACACTGACTTCTGTCTGGTAATAAAGACGGTAGACTCCCTCTCTCTCCCTCTCCAGAAACATCCTCTCAGCCTTGAGAGGTTCCGCCCTGCAGAGCTCAAGGCTTCTCCTTTAATCACACAGAGCCGCATCACAAACTGAACTGTGATCAGCGCCGGCCCCCGAAAACATCTCTCTTAACCACCGTGATCATCTGTTGCAAGGCTGAGAGAAGAGAAGTACTTAAGGGGTCTGAAGGGGCCGCTCCTGATCGATCCAACAACCTCTCCCCTTGATAGAAATCTGAATTACAGCTGCACCCTTTTCTAGGAGGTAGTAAAGAGAACGCTGTAATCCCTGGCTCTATATTATCGTAATGAGGGGACTAACTGTCTAAAAGGTACGGCAAGTTGTTCGGGGAAGTTGCTTCAGCATACAGCTGTGGAAAAAAAAAGGATTTAATGGCTGCAATGAATTTCCTGCATCCAGGCAAAGCAAACTTTTCAAATGTCACATAACAATACGAACAAACTAAAGCTGCTAGAACATTTCTAGACTGCCCCAGAAACCTTCCTGAGTTGCTTGTTCTCACCTTGTGTAGGAGCAGAGGGGTTTGGGTCTCAGGAGGCGAGACATGAGGCAGAAAGAACATCACCGGTGTGCAGGTGGCCTCGTAGTTGATTTGCTCGCCCCATGTACCGAGGCTGTAGTCCTCAAAGCGGACAACCCAGGTTCAAATCCAACCTGTGGCTCCTTTACCGCATGTCATTCCTCACGCTCTCCCTCCCTGATTTACGACTCTATCCACTGTCCCGTCGTTCTGATGAACGCATAAAAATCCCAAAACAAAAATTGTAGAAACATAAAAAAGAATAAATATAAGAAAAAAAGAACAACTCAGAAGTGGCAGATGAAGCCACTGAGTCAGACGCTATGATGACAACTATTTTGGTACGTGTAGTTTGACACATTCAGAATATCAACAAAAGAAAAGAACAGAAAACACAATGAAGCGATTTCATTACATGAACGGAGATCGCACCATATGCTAACACACAGTCTATAGAGGTGGGCTTATTGCAGGACATAAACGTCACTCCCTCCCCTCCCACTATTCCTGAAGGATTCCTGCAGCTTTCTCACATCAGCCCAACTTCCCATGTGACATTTACTAGGGGGGCTTGCAGGAAAAGTTCTGGGTAAAGTTTGCGTGAAAATATGTCTATTCACGTTCACACATGCAGCTCCTCCTGAAAAATTGAGAACATGTTCAGGAGTTTAGTGTGTGTGTGTGTGTGTGTGTGTGTGTGTGTGTGTGTGTGTGTGTGTGTGTGTGTGTGTGTGTGTGTGTGTGTGTGTGTGTGTGTGTGTGTGTGTGTGTGGAGACCTGCAGCTTCTGTGACCTGTTAGGTACAATTAGTGTTTTTTTTTTTTAATGAAGGCTTCAAAGAGAGGAATGTGACGTCTTTATCTCAGTACAATATCTTCTTCTTCTGAAACAAAAAGCTCTCTAAATGTAGAGATTGTTTCTGTAATGTTGTCAGACTCTGAGAAAAACAACCTGAGCCTATCAGGGACAAGAACAACTTTTAGTGGATGTACTCTCTGCTCAGGATCACAGCCCGCTTTAAGGCTGGTTGAGGAAATCTGCTGGAGCAATTCAAACTTTCATTTTGTATTTATTAGTTATTCTGGCCAAAATATGTGAATAGGACCCCGGGTTTAAACAAACAACACATGGAGTGGAGATACTTTGATCCGGCTCATTTACAGCCGAGGATTACTGTGAAAACATTACAGGAGAACAGAACAACAATCTAAGTGATGAAAACAACGAAGGGAAAAATACCAGAATAACCCTTTATCGATTCCACTTGGATCCAGTAATGAACACACACACACACACACACACACACACACACACACACACACACACACACACACACACACACACACACACACACACACACACACACACACACACACACACACACACACACACACACACACACAGAGGAGTCATATGACCACTTGCCTGCAGTGAAATGACCTGGTTTTTGCTGAAGTTTTCTCTGTAACTTGGCCGTCACATTAACGATCGCTCTGTGGTCTATCACAGAGCTTAATGAGTCCGCTTCCAACAGTCTCATACCCCGTACACTGACAAGATATTATGAATTAACATTACTTCCATGCATGACACTAATCTTGTCCTAATTACGCAATTAAATATCTGCCTTCAAATAGGTTCACATTTCAAAGGGTTCAGTCGGGCATGAGCGGTTTCTTTCTCACAGCAGATATCTGTGCCGTGTGTGACGGAGGGGTAATCCTGCAGGTTTTTGTAGTATGAGAATTTTATCTACACATACTGTAGGGATGTCACAGCACTTTTGATGCAATGCGAGTTCAAATCAAACAATATAGATAAATGTTTAAATACCACCACAACAGAAAATACAAGTCCTATAGGCACTGTAGGGCTGCACACTACATTACAATCTGAGCTTTCACAGCACACACATCACACAGATTTATCGCACTAGATAAAAACACGTTCTTTTTAAAGACGTGGTTATTTCTCACTGTGCACATTTCACCTGTTTGATTGAGAGCCATGCAGGTGTCATGCCTGAGCTTCAACAACGTGTTCATGCAGTCAGATGAAGCTCTAACTATCAGCTCCCCTCAGACTAATGATGTCAAATCAATGTTTAAAACCCCCACATGTTTTTAAGGAGGTGTTCACACATCCAACTCTCTCGTGAACAAGGTGCGTAGGACATAAAACTGTCACACTGACGTGACTAAATCCTGCACACTTCTCTTACTCAGCATCACCATTTAATTAGAAAAAAATCACAACGTTTCGATCCCTCTGAACCTTTGTCAAGAGCGAAACGTGGAGATGTTTTTCTAATATAATGGTGATGTCGAGCATGAGTAGTGTGCAGGATTTTTTCTTTTCAGTGTTGTCAAAGCCACTAAAAAGCTTTTCTGGCTTCAGGGGGGACATGATGAGAACACAAGCTTTGTGTAACACATGAACAAACAGCTGATGGAAATAAAAATGGAGTTATAGAAAGGCTAATATCTAGGCTACTCTTTAGAGTTTGTTTACTAACCGTACTTCATTTTGTTATCAAAATACAGAACATCACATATCTTACAATTTCTCTCCATGCAGGCTTTATGTGTGCTTTAAAAGCAGACTGCGCTTGATTGATTGTCTCTATTTTTCATATCGCAGAAGGAAAAGATGCCAGGATATATCTCAACATCATACAGCCCTGTATGGCACCCAATGCTGCTTCATTTATTTGTAATTACAAAACTAGCAGGCAAACTCCTGCACACTGTCTAAATTGCACAAATACCTTGGGAACTATTTGTGCAATGTGGACATTGTCTTCAGTTGTCCCTTAAAACAGGGGATACTCAAATCTTAATGAACACTAGTAATAATACTCTTGCAGCAGCTCCAGGTTGAACACATGACTGAAGCTCTGAAGCTGATAATCCAAGAAACTAAGGAGTGTCATTTGAAAACACATGCTATCACAAAGGTTGACAACCTTAATCTACACATGGACTTATTACTGCTCAAACTAGAGTCACTTTGGAGGCGTTATTTATGAAAGCTCGCTTTTTTATCTTGACCAAGTAGAGCAACACTTCCAGGCACAAAAACAAGCGCTGAAGTGTTGCTCTGTCAACATGGTGAAGGCTCCTTCCTCTTGCTGGCCAACAACTTTGACAACTAAGCATGAACTCCATGTCGGTATTACAGCCAACAGACTGGCGCTAACATGACATCACACATTCAGTGTTGCCACCCAACAACACAGCTGTAAGTCAGAGCTGAACTTCTGAAGTATAGTGGGGTTTTTTTTGCAGTGGGGACTTACCATCCTCCTTCTCGTCGAACACGGGTCTCTTTGAAGAACTGTTGGCTCCCATCCTCTTCTTCCACTTGCCCCAGTGAAACATTGATGCTCAGATTGCATTCCTCGCCTCTTGAAGAGAAACTACAGCTCTGTGTTGGACACCCTTATCAAAAAACAGAAATCATAACCGTGCATTTCACCCAGACCGTCTCCGTTATTCCCCCTTTTTTTCCCCCCCGTTATTTACTCTCCCCGGGAGTGTAAGACTCTTCCTAAGCCATTTGAGATGGAGAGCGGTGCAAAGTAAAGGAAATGCTGCTCGGGTTGTGACACTTGGAGGTAAATGTAATCACTCGGCACTGCTGGTGTTCAGTTGTCTTCCGTAGCCTGCCAGTAAAACCGAGAGACTTGTGTTTGTCAGTCTGAGAGTCGGAGCTGTGTAAAGCTACACGCAGTCACCGGGGAGGAAAACCGGAAGTGCGCCTTAGAAATAAAAGCCCACAGATGAGGCGCGGCAAAATGAGCAGGAACTGAAGTCTGCGTCATAAATAATGCTAACCAATCACTTGCGATTGAAGAGTCCTAGGTAAATCTTCGGTCTCCATGCTGGAAATGCTGCCTCAGTCTAACTTTCAATCAACCTAACAGGCTGAGAGCTGGAGCTGAGGCGGGTTTTAAACTCCTGACAAACCGTTACACTGTGCCCACCTGTCAGTCAGGTCAGCTACACGCCTTATTGTGAATAACTCTTATCCTTCATCAAATCAAAACTGATGAGTCATCAAAACATTCACCCCCGTTACAGTGTGTGTCGATCGAGACATGAGCTAATCACACCTATTTGTTTTTTTGAACCAGAGCGTAAACATGTTGATTCTGCTGTAAAAACAGGCTTTTTAGAATGGGTGTGTATGTGACTTCCTGTGCTTCAGCAGCCAGACTCTAGTGGGCACTCGAGGAACTGCAGGATTTTGTACTTCAGCATCTGCAACACCAGAGATTGCTGCTTGATTTAAGCCAAAAGTTAGTCGTCTTTGGGGGCCCCCTACTAGCCCGGGGCCTGAGCAGTTGCCTGCCTTGCCTGTTATTTATACAATGACACAACAGTTGTACCATATGATTTAGATTTTGTAAAGTTAGATGCTGTTTTCAATTTGGACAGTGATTGCAAGATGCCTTATTATATCTCACTTTGATCAAGTACCACAAATAGTTTCTGCAGGGCTTCACAATGAAAATCCTATATGTAACATTATATTGTAGACTACATGAAGTTGAACAGACATATAAAGAAAATGTAAGTCTTTCCTAAGTTTTGCTTCATATTATATAATCAGTTATATCAACATAGCCTGTAGGCTACTGTATGTAAGATAAGTAGTCTAATACTGTGTTATTTTGCTGTTTAAAATTTAAAGATTTTAATTTATTTTTGGGCACAACTGGAGACATTTTGCTGTGATTTTAGATATTAAAAACAAGGTATTACCCAAAATTGGGTGTAGTATCAAAACAGGTGTCAATATTGTTTGGACTTTTTTCAAGTTTCAAATTCTAGTATGCTTGCTACCCATTCACGTATACAATTATTCATAAAAACGGCGGAAGTTGTAGTGGTTGGAGTGTTAGTTTGAGGAAATGTACTTATATAGGGCTATACACTTTGTACCAGGACTTTTATACTGAAAGGGGTAACCGGAAATTCCTTGTTAATGTTCTACCTGTCTTGACACCTGTGAGAGTAGTGTGACAGTTTGCTGGCCAGTGACTGAAGCCGACGTAGCTCTGTGTCTGCAGACTGTCATGCATATCAAACCACGAGGAGCAGGCAGCCTCTCTGCAGGAGCAGCCGGGATGGATGAGCATAAACCGGGAAGCTTCATCAGACGTCACCGGCAGAAACCCGGTGCTGTGTTCCAGTTTAATGAACCTCATTTGGAGATGGGTGGGCGGTACCAATTCACTGACGGGGTGGGGGTGGTTTGGGGGACAGCCAGGCATTTAACACTTTGTCTTCACCAGCTTTGCCTGCTCCTTTATAAACTTAAAAACACTTTTTAATTTTTAAATGCTTAGGCTACATCTTAAATTATTCTTTACAAGAATCAGAGGCGTTCACTATGGGTGCAGCTCGCTTTGTTTGACCCCGTATTTTTGCCGTAGTTGGTGTTGTCCTGGTTACGTTGTCATGGTTACGGCGTCAAACCATAGACTGTAAATATTATTACATAAATAGTCTAACTCAAGCGGCTAAAGGTTAGTATGACATTTCTCTATGTATTTATTCGTTCCGTTAACAATTTATAGTACATAAAGTCGCGTTGACGTGTTGTGAGTTTGTTCCTAAACGATCTGGGTAAGCTAAAAGTGTCGCTGATGTGAAAAACTTTTGCTAATTTAAGCTAAGCTAACAAACTTGTGAAACGTGTATATAAACGTCACGATTCATGCTTTTCAGAATAAAACACCTCTGCTTGGTGTTTTAATTATTATTCATATTAATTATCTTTATAATATAGCCTATATTAATTTAAAGCCAATACCATATGGATATATTATTTGGGAGGATTTTAGAGGATGCTGAAGTATTTTGTTATATTCTTATATTCTAATTTATTTTGTTATTGTAATGTTTTTCTCCCTTTATGAGATTTGTTAAGTGTTAATGTAAAGTTACGTTATAATTATTTGTGCTGTGGCACTAAATAAGAAATAAATATTATCAATCTGTCAAACTAAACTTGTCCACCGGATGTGGTGTTTACATTATTATTATTTTGAATTTTCAGTCAACAGTGCGCAGTAAATATCTCAGTATCAATTCAACAATGACCTCCGCAGAGAGGAAAAGGGAGCAGAAGAGGGAGGAGGATCAGGAGGAGGTGGTGTCTGACCTGCAGCTGAGCTTTGCCTTTGGGAACAGTCTTGTCAAACCCCAGAGCCCCCATATGACACCAGAGGATGCTGAGCCCCAGGAGCTCCCCGAGTATTATCCAGCAGTGATGTTGGATCTGAGCAGAACTAACCTGAAACACATCACAGACAGTATTCTGAAAGATAGCAAACTAAAGGTCAGTTTGGACTCCACTGTGTATTCACCAACTCTGCTCATAACAATAGAACACTGCAGTGCTTATAAAGCTGTAACATTAGGGAAAACTATTTTAAAATGTCAGTGGAATTTTTTTTCTTCTGCATTATCCATTATTCTAACGGCTCATTTTATCATCCTCAGTGTTTATACCTTGAAGGGAACCAGATAACCCACGTCCCAGGTTCATTGTTCATCAGCCTGCCCAACCTGCGGTGGCTGGATCTCAGAAATAACCAAATTGAATCGCTCCCCGCTGAAATTGGCTCGCACAGGTAGGCTCCTTATGCAACCGCTCTTTGAAATTTATGCTGATTGATTCCAAGCCCCTCGGCTACCATGGGAGTACAGTACATTCGTTCTTCTAAATGTCACATTTCAGAACATTTTTAGATTCCCATTTTTATATCTCAGAGTACTTTTGTACGGAGAAAAACTGAATGCATGATTCCCAAGAGTGGAAAAATAAGATTTCTTTTTGATTAGGGCATATTTTGTACATTTTTGTCGTGTTCCCATTTTCCTCATTGAACCCGGTCAGAGTCAATCATCTCATATTCTCTAATTTCACTCATGCAGATGTCTGAAAACTCTACTTCTGGAAGGAAATTCCATCTCAGAACTTCCAGCAGAGTTGGGTAAGTTGAGCTCATCTTTACCTGCAAACCATGTCTCTGTTCTGTGTAATAATAACAAGCCGTCTGTCCGTTTCATCAGCCTCAATCAGCCTCACTGGAGTTCAGCAATCCTCCTAGTGGTTGATACAAGATCTGTAGCTTGCATGAATCGCCTTAAAAAGAGGAATCAAATATTTTCTAACCTGGCTCCTATTTTACATGTCTAAGTGATTGAGTGAATTATAGGTGCACATGTTTTTGAATTATTCTTGAATATTGCTTTTGCCTGCAGCCATGAAAAACGCTTGAATGCAAATCGTTGTGCACAAATACACCTAATCAAAGTCTGTCCACTAGAAGTTGTTGTTTTTGTCATTGACAGGCTCAGATTGTTATTTAAGGTGTCTGACACCATTACAGAAAGGAATCCCTACAGAGAAAGACTGTTTTGTTTAAATGAAGAAGATTATTTTAACCAGACACAGCTGTTGTAGCACTCTCTTCAAAGACACCAGATGTCTATGATAAAAACAATCATTTTACCTTTCAGATTTTTGGAGTAGCTTGTCTACTGCTCAATCCGTTTTTTTTTTGTGTTAATGCGTGTTATAAATAAAGTGTGCCTAATCCGTACTAACCATTTAAAACATCGAAGTAACCCACTTGACACTGAAAGAAACATAATCATTAAGGTAAGTCATTAAGGCATCATTAGATGATCAACTCCTGTGTTCTGTGCCATAGATTGTAAATACTAATGGATGAAGCCTGAGTTAAGGTTGCCTCTTGGTTGCATGGTGAAATAATCCTTCTGATCAAAGGAGTCTGGTGTCTATGATGTGAGTGATGTAACAGGTTTTTCTGATTAAAAGAATTATCTGCCTCCTCATTGAAAAGGTCAAATTCTGTAAGGATCTTTTCTGTAATGTTGTCAGAGACAAAAACAAGAAATATACTTAGTTGTACTTTAATTGGGTGAATCTACCCCAAAGGGTTAAGTTACAGCCGTAGTTGCACTTTTTGCAGCTTGTGGCTGAATCAAAAATAGGCCCTAAAATATTTTGTTAAAGGGACCAAGTTCAAATACACTTGAATTACATTTTTACTCTAAAAATTACTTAAAAGACAGAGCTTTAAGATATCTTTCTGATGTATTCATTGTAAATAAATTCTGGATGAATGTAGAAACTGTGACCTGTAAACACAGTTCTAAGATTTTTTTTTTGAAATGCCCTCATTCCAGGTCGTGTGATCACCCTAACAGGCTTGAACCTGAGGTCCTGCCCCATCACTTTCCCCCCGCAGGACATCGTGAACCAGGGGGTCTATTGCATCCTGCAGTACCTGAGGTCATGTCTGACGAAGACTCCTCCAGGTGAGTCAAAGGCACCTTAACTCTGAACAATGCAGCAGCGAGGTGTTCAGTGTGCACGTGCATCCCAGCCATCTGCTCTTTTAGTCAAAGCTAGGACGCGCTGGTCACAAAAATAGCTCCTTGCCCTGGTACCACTTTACTGGTGTGACTTCTGTTGCCTTGGAGACGGCGCGTGACAGTCGGCTGACTGCTCCCCCCACCCTCCCCCCACCACCCCTCCTCCCTGGAATATTTTTAGCCAGATGAAAATGATCGATAACCTGTGGGCTCTGAACGGGGAGCGCTGTGTTTCCGAGCTCTGTCTGGAGGTAATCACTGTGAGCAGCCCGAGACGGCCCCCCACAGGAGAGGCTGCTGCTGCACAACGAGCCCATCACACCCCTCAATCACTGTGTTTATCTCCCCAAATACAAGGTTATTCAGAAAGACAGGGCTCCCGTCTCCAGGGGGAAATCTCCTTTCAATAGATCCACTCAGAGTCAAAGTTTTTCTAAACACACCATTAATCGACATTCTGCATCGTGATCTGCCTTTTAGGCTGCAATAACATGAAGGACTTATTGTAATTGTTTTATCCACCCTCATACTTTCTAGATAATGAGTTCAAGGTTGCTGGTTAACACTCTGCAACATCATGCTCTCTTGGAGGAGATCAAAGTCTGAGAGATGTCCGGTACGGCTTTTCCTGCCTCATAACTCGATTGGCCTTCACCAGCTCACTATCAGATACCTCTGCATGAGTCTGAACAGACAAACTGAAAACCCTGACTGGCTGTGATGTAATGGCTTTTGTTGTCTTATATCCACGCTAAGGTTAAACTTTTTGTAAAACAAATGCAAACAGAGAACAGATGTCAACAACTTGAGTTCATTCTCAAGTATGACAGGAAGGAAACGGTAATAAATAAAAATATACATAACAATTCTGTGAGTAAGAGATGTTTCCAGCACATCTGTCTCGCTCCTGTCCGCTGATTCAGTGTCAGATAAATACTGATTTTTATGTAAATATTTACTAAATCTCGGGTCTGTTTGTTTTTGAGAAGAGGAGACCACAGTGGATAGAATACAATAGAAACCCTTGATTGTCTTTATACAATATAATGTACAATGAAAGAAGAGTAGCTTGACCTTCCTGTGCATGTGCACAACATTTAGACATCCACAGGAACTACATGCCGTTTGAAAGAGAGAAACTGGATACTGAAGCCCTGCAGAGAGAGTTGCACTGAACAGTGAAAAGTAACGTGCACTTGAGAAAAATGTGTCCCTATGAATTTATTGCACTGTTGATGTGTGATGATTATTGCACCTGTGTGTGTGTGTGTGTGTGTGTGTGTGTGTGTGTGTGTGTGTGTGTGTGTGTGTGTGTGTGTGTGTGTGTGTGTGTGTGTGTGTGTGTGGAGATGTGTTTAGTAAAAACTTTGTAAGCGAAAAACACAAAAGGAATCCTGACCATGAAAAGTGGAGCAAACATCCACACCAGCTCGGATAAAGCAGTTCTTCTAAAAACACTGCAGCCACCTAAGCTTTAGAGAGACACTGACTGTTTTTTAAAACTTTATATATGATTTATCTTTGGGCTTTTGGTGCCTTTATTTCAGAGAAAAGACAGTGGACAGAGTCAGAAATCAGGGAGAGGGAGAGAGAGAGTGGGGAATAAAGAGCAGGAAAGGAGCCACTATAGGACTAAACTTCTACTTTCTACTTCAATACTGGAGCTCTGAATTCAAATACACTCTCTGCTTGTTGTTATCAATTATCATTGGGCAATAGCTTTCCTAACAATTGTCTGTGTTGCATTAAAACAGAAGTTTCTGGAGGCAGCCAGAAAGCATCCTCAATTGCTGCACAGCCTTCTGATTAAAAGATTCAAATAATGAAGGATCTTTTTGAAACAAGTGTATGTATCAAATCTGTGCATAGTTACAGATTCTGCAGTTGAGGCTGTGTTGGAGGCATTTGTGATTCTGATATTGATATGAGTACAGCTGTTAGGATGAGGCCATGTCTTCTCTGCTCTTTGTAAAGAGCTGCATTGATAGCCTGTTATCATGAGGGGCTGCAGCTATAGCAGCTTTAAACAGCAGGGATTCTTTCCAGAACTGGCTGCTCCCTTCGTTTAATGAAACATGTTAAACTTGTAGGTGCAGTGGATGTGTCGGTCGTGGAGCTTCCGCTGGTGGAGAAGCTCCAGCTGTCCGAGCTGATGGGGTCAAGTGTGGAGGATCAGGAGGAGTCTGTGGACGAGGAGGAGGAGCTGCAAAGATTCAGGGACCTCAAGCAGAAGATGATCCTGCTGGACAAGGCTGAGCTGGGGCCGATAGAACAGGGAGACAGGAAGTCCCGCCCTCGTCCTGTTATTAAAAGGTGAGTTAAGATGAAGTGAAAAAGTTAGAGAGATGCCATTTTTCTCTGAATGTGTGATATAAAATGATTTTCATCTTTCTTAAATATTAGAGGAGGAGTTTATTGTTGTGCAGTCACGACATTTGATATGTCCTCACTGTCTAAAAGTATTAAGTGTCCCTCTGGAGAACATTTCTAGCTGCTGTTTATATGAGATGAGATGAGATTGAGATTCAACTTTATTGTCATTACACATATACAAGTATAGAGTAACGAAATGAGGTTTGGCATCTCACCAGAAGTGCAAATAAGCAGAAAGTGCAAGAGTCAGTGCTATGTACAGTAATTACAAAATTTACAGATGTAGACTAAAAAAAGTGAATTATTAGGTATATCTGGATGGCTGGATTAATGGGATGCTATAAATATAAATAAATGCTATAAATAAGTAATGCTACAAAATAAGTGTATTCTTAGGATTATAATATACAGATTAAGATGCAGTGAGCATGCTATACTAATAATATACAGATTAAGATGCAGTGAGCATGCTATACTAATAATATACAGATTAAGATGCAGTGAGCATGCTATACTAGTTTACAGATAATATAAAGAATATGGACATAATATGAACATACTATAATACAATAATACAGGTGGATGAGAGATGTGTGTGTGTGATCAGGAGGAGTGGTGGGGGGATGATGGGTGTGAGGTGATATGCAGGGGAAAGGGGGGGGGTCAGCAGGGGCGGAGAGAGAGAGGGAGAGAGAGAGAGAGACAGAGTTCAGAGTTCGGGGGGTAGAGTTCAGTAGAGAGACAGCTCTGGGGAAAAAGCTGTTCCTCAGTCTGCTGGTTCTGGTCCGGAGGCTTCTGAAGCGCCTGCCGGAGGGCAGGAGGGTAAACAGTCTGTGGGCAGGGTGGGAGGAGTCTTTAAGGATGCCATGAGCTCGCCGCAGACAGCGTTTTCTTTGGACATCCTCAATGGCAGGAAGTGGACACCTTGTGATGCGCTGGGCGGTTTTTACCACCCGCTGTAGCGCTTTACGGTCTGCGACAGAGCAGTTTCCGTACCAGACTGAGACACTGCTGGTCAGGATACTCTCGATCACACAGCGGTAGAAGTTCATCAGTACAGCTGAAGACAGGTGGTGTCTCTTCAGTGTCCTCAGGAAAAAGAGGCGTTGATGAGCCTTCTTAACCAGACTGGAGGTGTTAGTGGACCAGGAGAGGTCCTCTGTGATGTGGGTCCCCAGGAACTTGAAGCTGGAGACACGTTCAACAGCCATCCCGTTGATGTGAATGGGGTTGTGCATGCTTCCTCTTCCTCTCCTGAAGTCCATGATGAGCTCCTTCGTCTTGCTGGTGTTGAGGAGCAGGTTGTTGTCAGCACACCAGGCGGCCAGATGCTGTACCTCCTCCCTGTAGGCTGTGTCATCGTTGTTGCTGATGAGGCCAATCACCGCCGTATCGTCCGCAAACTTGATGATGGTGTTGGATCCATGTACAGGTCTGCAGTCGTGGGTGAAGAGGGAGTAGAGGAATGGGCTCAACACACAGCCCTGTGGTACGCCTGTGTTGAGTGTGATGGTGGTGGAGCAGGTGTGTCCTGACCTAACATACTGGGGTCTGTTGGTCAGAAAGTCCATATGCAAAGCTAACAGAAGTTCACCTCTTATTTAATGCTCTTAAAGCGAAATCCTTCTAACTTCAAATCGAAGAACATTCAAATGAAAATAATGAATGTTAACTTTGCTCCAATGTGTGACTCAGTTGGATGGAAAATGTCTCCCTTTGTTGGATCTGACGCTTGTCGTACGTCGGCCATGTTGGCTACTTCCCTTTCATCCATGTAGCCTCATGTCGTTTCCCTCAACGACTGTTTGTCTTTGCACGTCTTTTCCCCAGTTTTCTTCAGGTTACGTTTCTCCTGTGTGAATGCACTGATGAAGACATGGAGGAATCGGCTTTTCTATGAGTTAGTGTCACGTCCGTTGAGTTTATAATTAATGTTGGGAGTGTTGGGAGTGCAGCATCCAATAATGCAGAATATAAACAATGTCCCTAAAATGTGTTCAGACTAAAATAACAAGATTGTCTTTACAATGTGGAGGAGTGGAAACTTTAGATATTTTTTGCTAAATGGCAGAGGGTGAATGAAAAATTAAGTACAGCTATTCAGTATTTGTCATTGGGTCATTGGGAACTGGGAACAGGTGGAATTTGATAGATTCCCTGTATGTGTCCAAAGGTGACAAAATCTGCCCGAAAGCTCCCAAATAAACTCAATAATTCTATCCACTGTTTATTACACACACACACTATCACACACACATTTTATTTGGGTGTTATGTGCCAAATCATTTCTTGGCGGGGATAAGTAACTTCCTGGAATCTGCCGGTTACCTGGCAACTGGTGCTAGAGAAGAGATAGGCATTGTCCTTTTTTATAATCCATTTTTTAAAATGATTGAACAAGAAGGGTGTAACACGGAGCTAAAGATGGTCTGCTGGGAGGATGTTGTCCCCTCTGGATGTTGCCAATACACAGTTTCAGGTCTTTATGCTAAGCTAAGCTAACCAGCTGCTGGCTTGGGCTTCATATTTCAGTTCAGACGTCAGGTTTCAGACTGATATTGATCGTCTCATAAGCATCCAGAAGTGATTAGCTGTGTTCCCACAGAACTATTCCCTCAGAAGAAAGTCTCAGCCTGGCTCTTTCATTTCTCTCTGGGCTCAGATCAAATCAGATCATCATTTTATCGCTCCTGTCTTTGTTTTTGAACACTGTATCGTCTCTGTTGGACCCGTTCATACACTCTGTGAAATGAAGTTGAAAGTGATCTTGGCTCTCTAACAGAGGAGGTGATCTGCTTTTGTGTCAGTAGACAACTTCAGTGCTGAGGTTTGGAGTTTCGCCCGGGAAAAAAGGGACAGCGAAACATTTTTTAATGACATTCTCTGCAGAGAGGAGACACGCTGATAAAAAATCTCTCCGGGTTGTCTCCGCTGGGACTCAGAGCTCCGGAGAGCAATAAAAATAAAGCATTTTGTTTCAATTTATTCGGCAGAAAAAAGGCGACTGGCAAGGCCGGCATAATTCCCGAGCTGCCGTTGTTTGACACTCGGAGGAGGCCAGAGGAGAGGAGACAGGCGGCAATGAAGGAGCTGAAGGAGAAGCAAGCCATCCTCGAGCACAGAAGGAAGTGAGTTATTTTCTACTATTAGAGCTCGAGTTCAATATAATTATGACCCGAGTTATTATCCTTCTGCACAACTACTGGGGCATTAAAGGGGAATGGCAGTACTTTTAAATCTTGGTTCTATTTTTACATATTTTGTGGTCTGAATGACGTTCAAGACATTTTGCCTCACTTGATCTCTTCAGCCGTCAGCAGTTGACCAGGCTGCAATGGCTGCAGTGTTATCTTGAGGGGCAAGACATGGCATTACAAGAACAACACAGGAGTGGATGAAGCAACAGAGTCCACATTAATTTGATTATTTGCCTTTATGTCAATGTTCGTGTAGTTCGTCCGAATCACAATATGAACTTAAGATTGGAGAAGAACATACTGGAGAACAGAAAACATAATGAAGCCGTTTAATCACATGCACGGTGATCGTAATGGTCGCGTGCAGATGGTCTATGGTCGTGCACTGATGAAATTGCTCAAGTTGTTGCATTCGAATGCTTCTACCTGCAGCAGTGAGACAGTCTTTAAGGGCGCACTCAAACTAGGTAAAGTAGTCCCGTACCTTGCTTAAGCACGATTGTCCCCCCTCCTGCTGGCCTGACACTGCTCCACGGTTACCTCGAGCAAGTGTGTGTGTGTGTGTGCAATCAGTGCACGACCAAAGACTGTCTTCATAAACGTCACTACCGCCTCCCACTCGCTCCAGGTGTATTAAAGCCTGTCTCACTGCTGCAGGTAGAAGCATTCGAATGCAACAACTTGAGCAATTTCAAAACTTACTACAGCATAAAATCAGGAGCCAGGTTTAAATATAACATGTTAAATTACAGTTGATGAATTGCCTAAACATCCACTCAGCCCAGGTGTTACTGGAGATAAGAAATCAATCAATGAATAAAATAACTAAAGTGTTCTTTGTGCAGGGATTTATTTTGTGTAATTGGTATTAAGACAAATCACCAACTGTAAAGGATCGATTATATATTCTTAATTTAAAGACACAAAGAGTCATCTGTGTGCACAGTACTGCAAGCATTTAGAAACAAAAGAATCCAGAATGATGAATCACTGCATTTTGTTTTCGGGCTCCTCTGCAGCAGCCAGGAGGCTCTTCGGGTGTGGCATTCACAAGCCAAGCAGAAAAGGCCCAAGAAACAGAGCAAACCGAGAGATCAGGAGGTATGAAATAAATCACACAAATGTCCAGCTGTCAAAACGGATCATCCACCAGGGGGCAGTAGTGCACCAGCTGTGTCATACTGGTTTAATGACCATCACAATGAAGGGATGTAAAGATAAAAGATACTGATGTTTGTTCAAAGAGAGAACAGGAACAGAGTGTGCTTACAGTCAAAGCTGATGCTCATGATGTTGGCTGCATCACTTAAATATAAAATACTAAACATCTGGGCGATTCAACATCCTGAGACTGATGCTGAAGACCTGGACTGATTGGTTGGTTTGCTTTTTTGGGGTATTGTGTCATACTTAAACAAACAAGCTTACTAGACACAAATATTAAGAAATAAAGGACGAGAAACCAGACGCATAGATTACAATAATGATAATTTTGAGGATATAAACCAGACGGACTCTTTTCCCAAGCTGTACAAACAAAACGCTAGCAGCTTGTAAGCATTAAAATGAAACAACTGTTTCTTCACCCTGTTGTCTTCGTCAGTGCACCAAAACATCAAACAAATATTTGACTCATCAGAGGGGTTCTTCACTCCTCATTAAAAGGTCAACACCATAGAAACATAGATGAATCCACAATTCCTCCTGATACACATCCTTCACTCAACTCTCTGTTCCCTGAATTTAAGAACAGCTGTTGTGCTGTTTGTGTGCAAAGCTAACACAAGTTTACCTTTTTTTTTAATGCTTTTAAAGGGAAATCCTTCAAAACTTCAGATCAGATTGTGCTTTAGAAGAGGAACCTTTTTTGTAGCAGATTGCATCTGTTATCTTTTAAAGACTGAGCTGTAAAAGGAGCATGTAAGTTTGTAATGTTATGATATGTTGAACCACTGCAGCGGAATTTCTGGTGTCTAATAACCCCTTGAGGGTCGGGCACTTTGTGTACATGACACAAAGAGAAATACAATCAATCAAAAATCTAATATTACGGGGCGCTGGTGGCACAGTGGTTGGTGCGTACGCCCTATGTATGGAGGCTGTAGTCCTCCAGGCGGGCGGCCCAGGTTTGAGTCCGACTTGTTGCTCCTATGTCATTCCCCACTCTCTCTCTCTCCCTGATTTCTGACTCTACCCACTGTCCTATCTCCACAACAAAGGCACAAAACGCCCAAAAATAAATCTTTAAAAAAAAAAAAATCTAATATTACGGTAACATCTTTACTCTCAGTTTCAGGAGGCAGACACAGAATCTAAACCTGGTGTCACAGAGGACAGAGGTGGTTCTCTACAGAGTCAGACTTCCTATAAGACCATCACAGAGCACGAGGAGTCCAGGTAATGAGAGCACTGTGACACTACATTTATAATTATACTAAGAGTAAGAATAAGTAGAGTGCTTTCCAGGAACTAGAAGAACACAGCTGCAGCATTAAAAGACACGAGAAGAACAATCATAATGGAGGGTCATGTTGAAAAGACATCAACGATCAGATTTAAATTGAAATCAGTCGTCCTTCTCAGTCAGAGGAACACGACTGTGGAACACATTAAGTGTCTCTAGGCTGCGTAAACGTACTTAAATGAAACTGACAGCTATGACAAAGAGTGTCCAACGTCAGAGGAACTTTTAGCAGGTCAGTCATGTGTGACTGTTGAAGTGTTTTCCTGTAAACATGCAATGAAAGTGCCTGTTTTTCACCTGTATATCTACAAACACTGAAACGTACAGAAGAGTAAATGTAAGTTTAACCTGCAGTGGGACGAGGTCTATCCTCCTTAGTTCAAGCTTTATGATTCACGATACCGGGTTCACGGTACAATTCTCTCACGATTTATTTTACAAAATGATGAGAAAAAGAGTCCTTTTTATTTTTTCATGAAAACACCAATGCACCTCATAATCTCTTAGGCACTCGTTTGGGTGAGCGTGGGCTGCAATCCCGCTCGTTTGTGTGGTTTGGCCTCCACAGCTGCCATGATAGCGCCTGCTTGTTACAACCAACCGCCTCTGCTCTACAGCTGCTGACGCTCACCATATTACTGCCATTCATTTTTCAGAGTACCAATGTGAACCTTGACACCTTTGAATCTATTTCTAACTGCCTCACGATTAATCTTTACATCCCTATTGAAAATTCTGCAGTCAGGCATCAGTCCACTGTGCACTCCTCACTCAGGCTTTCCTGCTTCACTCTGCACATATTAAGCCATTAATGGGATAGCATCAAGCTACATTGCTAACTCCTTAGTTAATCATCTGCTGCATGTTTACTGGAAGTTCAGAGACATCTGAAACAAAGTGTAGCCTTTGTCACTCACACTGCAGAGTGGGAACACATTAAAAATACGTTTTAAAAGGGGGCTTAAAATGGATCCCTTGGGGTGCAGATGGCCTAGCAGTTAGGTCACACCCCATATAGTCTGTAGTCCTCCAAGTGTGCAAAGTTTTGTTTTACTTGTTTTTACTAATTATTTGTACTCTATTTTCTACTTCATTATTCAGTGATGTTTATTTTCCTTAAGATCACATTCAATGGAATTTACTTCATAATCTACTTTTATCCTTTTTAATTCATATACTTACAGTTTAATTGTAATTGTAGTTTGTGTTTTTATTTATTTAATTTACACTTTCTATCCATTCTGTCTATTTTAATGTGAAGCACACGTTGCATTTATTGTATGAAAGGTTCAAAATATCAAGATATTTATGATTATTAATACAATTATTATGACATATACAAACCATATTCACTGGATTAACATCTGAGGTGTTCAAGTCTCCATGATAATGGCTTTTTAAGTGATCCACAACCAACTGTTTAGACGCAAATGGGAAGCTAGAGACACCTGGTGGAGAAAGAGAGGCATTACACCCACCACAGGACAGCTGCAGGTTCTTTTGTTCCTTATGAGCAACAATAAAGCTCAAAAACAGAATAACCACAGAAGAAGAGACAATTCAGTCTTTTCTTTTTACAGTCGTGGATTTGATTTCAGTCCCAGGATTACGTTTGTTATCAGTTGTGTACCAGACATTCATCTAAATACTTAGTCTTTCTGTATTCTGACTATGTGATCTTTGACCTGTGTGTTTTCTTCAGGTCCGCCCGTGAGCTCGAGCGGCAGTTCTGTGCCCGTGTGGAGACGCTGCAGGACCGACGCAGGAATCCCAGGGGCAGCAGCAGCGAGCAGATGGCGGCGGCAGAGCAGGACATGGAGGAGGTTTGGACCCGTTTCTCATTATTCACACAACCAATCTATAATCAATTCGTAGATCATTGATCTGAATTTGCTTCTTTTCTTTAACGACAGATGAGGAAACTGCAGACTCGGCTACTGGAGAAGAAGACGAACCGAGATAGAAATCTTGACAAGCGTTTCATCATGTTCACTGCAGACACCTTCACTGCAGACACCTGGCCGAGTCACCCTCAGAACTGACTGCCCTTTGAGTTTTTGTCAAACTCAAAACTTCTAGTGAAGAGACTCATCCCTTTATACATGACTGTGTTAATGCTGGTGACTTTAAAATAAAAAACACATTGTTGTTACTGCGTGAACAGTACTTTGAAACTCACCATTGTACCCCGGAGTATGACAGTCTCTCCATCATACTTTACATACTATCATACATTCTTTTGTTTAAATTAGACCATTTAGTATACGTCCTGTTTCTGCAGGGTTAAAGTGCTACTGGGACTCATTGTGCAGCTGTTAATTGTTATATTAGCTCAGCCGACCCAGCTACAACAAAATTGAATCTCTACAGAGGAAGTCGTCTTTGTGTTTCAAACGGTTGGGTAACAAAAGAAGCAACATGAGGACAAAATTCAGGGAAACTGTCGATGTGCTTTTGTCGAAACTTTCTGACAAATCATCGACTTAATGTTCACTTGCCCATCATGAAGTTCAGATGAATCAATGATGGAAAAAAACTAACATGTATTTGTACTGGAGGGATCATTGTGGGGGAACCCTGGTTTACAACATTAAGTCAGCTATAAGTTGAGTTTAATTGACAATGCATCACCATGATTAGAAATATGAAAAGCTATTTCAACTTTACAATCAGAGATGATAATTAGAGGGATTCAAAGAAGCTGAAATGATACAACATGAAACGACACAATACTCTTTATTGTCCCCTTTGGGAAATTTGCCTTGGACGCCGAGTGCTGCAAACTTTGAGCCGCCTCTGCAGTAAAGAAAAATAAAACACTGGAAGCAAACACATCTACTTGTACAATTCAGAGAAGCACGTAACAATGTTGAAATGTAAGATAAAAATGCAGTTACGTGACACGGGTGCAAATTGAAGGCTGGAGGTTTGAGATAAAACTTCTTAAATGTCAAGATAATCGGACCCATCCACCGTTTAGGCCTGACATTTATCACAAGCATTCAGATGAACAGTGGCTGGGTTTGCAGCAGTGATGTCAAGCTGAGGACTTACAAGAGTGGTTTAAGAAAATAGGCTACTGTATTTCCCCAATACAGGGATAATTCTACGTATAACTACCTAAGTGTGCACAAGATAAAAACTTGAGATAACTTGCACGAACAAGTTATTATCTCTTACACAACATGATTACCATGTGCACACAGGAGAAAATAATGTATGGGGGCACAAAAATAATTAGGCCTTTCTTGGGCGCACAAAAGACATGATAGCTTGTGTGGACAGGATATCATGTGTGCAAAATAATTATCTTGTGCACACAAGAGAAATAACTTCTCTCAATCTATTTATGGCAAACAACAACAAAGGTGCATACCACACAATTTAATTATATTGGTCGCACAAGGAAGGAGAACTTGTATATTTTGGACTTTCTTGGACTTCAAGGCTCCTGCAGTGGGCTCTTTTGTGTTGGATTGGACACAGGATCCTACATTTATGGGGGCACAGAATAATTAGGCCTCTCTTGGGCACACAAAAGAGAAGATATCTTGTGTGCAAAATAATTATCTTGTGCACACAAGATCTCGTCGCAAACAACAACAAAGGTGCATACCACAAGATAATTATATTGTGCGCACAAGATATCTTGTATATTTTTTACTTTCTTGGACTTCATGGCTCCTGTAGTAGGCTCTTTTGTGTTTTGTATAAGATTAAATACAGGTCGTTTATAGGCTCTGTCACGTCTGTCAGATTTGTCGACATACGCTCACACAATTAAAGAAACAAATCTGTGCATTGTATATTTTCAGACGCAATGGTTGCAGATGTAAAGTAAGATCCGTCAGTGTGCTCTGTGTGTGATGATGGGAGTCATCCCGTTGAGGGAAGTCCGTCCTGAATAATGGCATCAAACAGTCAAAGTGAGGCAGAGGAGGAAGGCCTCCTTCTCCAGCACACACAGAGCGTGATGTCAGCGCTAACAGTCCTGTTGTAATTGACTTGGTGGGGGTGATGGCGTCATTTCATGCCCTGCTGTAGCCTCCTGCTCCAATAGCGAAGGGGAGACGGATCTTTGGCCGACGCGACCGTGGCTCCCTTGGCCGGGATCGAGCACCGCCGAGCCGGACACTTGACGCCGGGAAACATGGAGGCTGCGGCCGAGCAGCTGCGGGCCGGCTCTCGGTTACCTGTCACTATCGATCAAATAGTTAACGATACACTGGTGGTGACGCTGACCTACCGGGAGAGGAGCTACACGGGGATATTACTCGACAGCGACAAAAAGTGAGTGTTATTTATTTTACTCTTTTTATACGTTTTAATTAACTATCGCAGCTAACGGCTAATCCATCTTTGATGCTAACCAGTCAGAGCTAGCTGTTAGCATGTTAGCTCGGTGGGCCTCCATACAGGAGAGCTAACTGTTAGCATGTGTGCTAACTGGTAGCATGTGTGCTAATGGAAAACTGATTTATAATGTACAACACATTGAAATGGTTATATCACGTTAAGCCGTGGTTTATATTAAAGCCATTTATTGTGTGTGAAGGTGGTGAGCATGTCTAAAGATAAAGTATGATGACTTCACATGAACAATAATGTCAATGGGTTCATCTGTAGCTTATTGTGTTAGCATAATCTCATACAACACATGAAAACGTTATGAGGTAAAAAAGAGAAGGCCTTGGCTTTACAGTGTCATGTATATCACTCATATTCTGGTGTATTAACACACACTTAACACACACTTACACACACAGACACACACACACACACATGGCATTGTATAGTGTGTTAGTTTTCTGTGGTGTTGATTCAGTTCAAATAAAGTAAAATAGCCCTTCATAAGCAATCACTGTTGATCTGTATACAAAAGAAAATGGTTTAAGATACTCCTGAGAAATCTGTATTTTACTGCTTTAGATTTAAACCTGGTTCTGATGAGATCCAGTTACAATCTTAGGCTCTGTATCATCCACATAAAGGCCTCTCTCCTGCTAGAAAAACCCCAATCCAGTTCAAGAAAAATCCTTATATATGAATGTTTATGTTTTAATGTGTTATCAGTATCATGTCTTATCTTCCCCTGCTGCTCTGTGTCACATGTATAAGCCTTATGTGCACCTTAGAGGCCACTGGCTTTAGACTATTTATAGCAAAGAAGAATCAGAATCTGACCAGCTTTGCCCCTTAGTATGCTTAGATAGTTTTTCATGTGAGAGCTCGAGCTGGCCTAAAAATAAACCTACCCAGATGGGAAAAGGCAGGCCTTGGAATAACTGAAAATAGGCCTTTATTTCAGGCCTCTTCACTGACAAAATTTGACTTCTTCTTCCTTTCCAGCTCATGGAAATACACTTCCTGTCATTGTCTCCCACAGGTTTTTTTTTAATGTCATCGTCTCAGCCTGTCATGCAGGCATATCTCCACATCTAGTTACACTGTAAACAACGTGAAATGGCACAAATGCATTGAGCGTTTACTGTGTCCTTGTGCTGTTCTGAACTAGCACTGCCTGTTCCCTGTCACACACAGACCTGTTTGTGCCTTGTTAGTCACTCCAAGGGCTGATATTCGCCTGCTTTAAGGGGCACGTAGAAAAAGGTGAGGCACAAGCTGCACTGGGAGACTATTATTCAGAGGTGCCTGCCAGTTGCTCCTCCTGGGGAGGAAATTGGGCTCCCAAAATGTGCGCTAATTAATAATCTCACCACACATAAGCCCTGATCAGACACGGATGCAAAACAAACTGAAATCTCCTGGCTCCTTCCCTATACGTCTCTGAGTCCCGAGTGATTCATGGGATTGTTTTTGTTCAGTCAGATGTTGGGGTGGGGGGGGGTGGGGGGGTTCCTGGGCATCCTGTAGTCTCTTTGTCTGCTGTCTCCTGACTAAAGCTACACAGCCACGTTACTGTTGCCTGCAGTCACTCCTCAGAGACTCCTGGGCAGTTTGGGCCTTCTTTGGACATGTTTGTAGGTCTCTCTGTTAAAAAAAACAGAAAAGGGAATACACAAAACCACCCAAAGAGAGTCAGTGATGCTTCAGCTCCATTTTTGTGGCCTGTTAAAAACAGATACCTCCACAGACTCTAACCCCCATATGTAAAGAATTTTCAGCAGGCAGGTGACAGGGAGAGTCGCTCTTGCAAAGAAAAACAAATTAGTATAAATAAGAACTGAACCAGCTTTGTGTGCGTTCTTCTCTTGTGTCCTAATTGGAGCAGCAAGGTTTGAAGTGTGCTGTCCCTCTTGGCCTTCAGTTGTCTGACTTGATGAAATTAGAGCCTGACATTACAGCATGGCTATGTAGAGGAAATTGCCTAACTTAAGAAATCCAAGAAATGCTTGTCATGTGGTTGTTTGTGCTTCTAATGTAACTCAAAGAAACACACAGTGATTCAATAATTGTTGCTTTTCTTTCCTTAGGACCGGGCTTTTCTGTCTGCCAGAGTTTACAGCCAAACCAGAGGACTGCCTGAAATCTAAACCAGCTTGTGAAATCCCAGAAGTCCTGGGTGAGGAGCCGATTTCCAAATCTCCGAGCCAGGCGTCACACACACCAAAGGATGAAAACACGCTCCCTGAAAGCGGCGTACCTGCTGCTCCTCCTCCTCCCTGCCCCGTTCCTACACCAGTGCCAGCTGGACAGACGCCTTACCCTCCTTATTTTGAAGGAGCCCCCTTCCCTCAGCCCTTATGGGTGCGCCACAGCTACAGCCAATGGGTACCTCAGCCACCGCCCCGACCAATCAAGAGAAAGAAGAGGCGATCGCGAGAGCCCGGCCGCATGACCATGAGCACGATCCGTCTGCGGCCGCGACAGGTTCTGTGTGAAAAGTGCAAAAACACTCTGAACAGTGACGAGGACAGCAAAGACGGCCTGAGCAACAACTCAAAGACTTCTAGAAAAGAGAATTCACTACACAGCGATGACGACGGGGAAGATAAAGAAACCCCCGCAAAGCTTTCGAGAAAAGAGGACGGCGTTGCTGCGAGAGACACCAAAAGACGTGAAAACGGCGCCAACCTGGACAACAAACGACTCAGGAAGGACAAACGGGGGGAGTCTGAGGGGGAGAAGTTCCCCGGAGGTGACATTATCCCCCACAGTCCGGTCATAAAGATCTCCTACAGCACTCCGCAGGGTAAGGGGGAGGTGATGAAGATCCCCGCTAGAGTCCACGGCTCAGTTAAACCCTTTTGCCCCAAACAGCTGGTGCAGAACGGCGTGGGAGAGAACGGCAAAACGCCGTCTGATCCCACCAAGGAGCAACGGCACATACTAGACGCAACAAGGTCCGGCCTCACCGTGTCCATTCCTAAACTTAAACTCACCCGGCCTTTCACCACCGTGGGTCAGGACTTACCTTCTCCAAAGATTCGCTTGACTCCCCCGTCGAGGGAGGGGGAGGAGAGTGCGGTGGAGTACGAGGCCGAACTCGTCGGAGGCACAAGGAGGCGGAGCCCCAGGGTGCCGGGTCCCTGCCTCCCCCACTCGGAGGACTCAGGGGAGGGTAAGAACTCTCTGGAGTTGTGGTCGGGAAGTTCAGGTGAGGAGGCGGAGCGTGGACACAGTGACCTCACACTCCTCATCAATTTCCGTAAGCGTAAAGCGGATTCTTCGAGTCTGTCGGTCTGCAGCAGCGACAGCCTAGACGAGTCCAAGTCCTTCAGCTCTGACGGCACGTCCCCGGAGCTGTGTGACCTGGCCCCCGGGGAGGACCTGTCTGTGACGTCATCTTCTGTCCCGTCGCGGGAGGACTGTAAGACGGTGCCGCCTCTCACAGTGCGGCTTCACACCCGCAGCATGACAAAGTGTGTAACAGAGGAGGGTCACGCGGTGGCGGTGGGCGACGTCGTGTGGGGGAAGATTCACGGCTTCCCCTGGTGGCCGGCGCGCGTCCTCAGTATTAGCGGCACGCACAAGCAGGAGACGGCGAGCTGCGAGGCCCAGTGGCCCCAGGCCAAGGTGGCGTGGTTCGGCTCGCCGACGACCTCCCAGCTTTCTGTTGCCAAACTGTCGCCCTTCAGAGAGTTCTTCAGGTCCCGCTTCAACAGGAAGAAGAAGGGAATGTATCGGAGAGCCATCCTGGAGGCCGCCAAGGCCGTGGGTCACATGAGCCCCGAGATCACATCGCTGCTTTCACACAGCGACACGTAGGTCAGTTCAGACTTCACAGGTTGTCACATCTACTGTTTTTAATAAATATCTACCTGAGTGTTCAAAGACTGACAATAGAGCAGGGTGGTACACCTTTAACAAAACAGACCTTAACATCCTCCACCTTCTTATTCATGTTCATATTCTTAAGCCCCCCTTTTGTTTTGTGCCTCAGAGTTCATAACGCCCCCGCACGGTACACACAAGCGACCAATCCCTGGCGCTTTGTTCTTGTGTCCTACGATGCAGCTTTATTCAAAGGGAGGAAATCCAACTAGAAGTTATTACATTATGTGATTAGCTAAGGTTGCTCAGGTTATCTCAGAACTTCTTAATCGGTGTAATAATAAGGACAGGTGCCGTAATCAAAGCGCTGCTGAACGGATGCTTACATGACATGTTATTGAGCGCTGCACACTTATAAACAGCAACACATACCTACAAGCTAAACAGAGGTTGTTCTGTAAGCTGGAGGACAACATAAAAATGTTTTTGGTACCAAAAATAAACAAACCTCATTGACCATTTACAGGAATCTGTGAAAAGGTCTTGCTTTGATTTTCCCCCAAAAAATATAAAGGCACTTTTTATTTTAGGAAGTAACTGATCTCTTTTCAATCATAAAGAGGGCTGACGTGCAGTGTAACAACTCAACTCAGATATTTCCAAAGATGGAAAACAAAAAAAAAAAGGAATGTAATGTGCACATGTCCCAGGAGGTGTGATGTCAGTTAAGTTACCTGAAGCACGCCTTGTTGCCGCTTTTAGGTTGTTTGATGCAAATCCAAACTGCCAGTTTTCTAGTTTCCATGACTCATGGTCAACATTAAAAGTCTGCCTGATATTACCACAATGAGTCAGAGAACAGACCATGCAGAGTGTATGTGTGCATGCAAAAAATGTACAGACGTCAGGCCCCGCTGCTGCTGTCACAGATACACCGCGTGCCGGTTCTTGTTAAAGACCCTGACAAACCAAGGAGATTGTCGGCCGTCGGTCCAATTAGTCGGTTGGCCGTCGGCTGTAGTCTTTGCGCTGTATTCAAGTGCAACTTTTTGGTCAAGACAAAAGGCGACGTGAGGTGACATCTCTTGTCGCTCTTTGCCATCTGCTTGATGTTTCAGTGCCGCTGACTGTTTACGTTTATTGGCTACACCTGCTGTGTGCGCGCTGAAGTGTTGTGGAAGTCACAGGCAGCTCAAGATGGGAAGCTTTGGTTTTATTACAGGTTACAATCACAGTCCTAGTCATGTAGGTTCCTCTACTAGTCAAAAAGTATTCAGCCTGAACAACTGAGTAACAAGTCTGCTTGCGATGAAATCAAAGCTGTAGTTGTCATAGTAAATAAAAAAAAAGGCAAAGTGCACGGAAAACAAACGCTGCACCTTTTAGCCAGGTGGACACTTTCTGCTGCAAACACTCTCTAATCATTGAAAGAAGGTGGACACATGGCATGTTTTTTGTCTTTTGAGGCTGATAATATTTTAGGTGTTAAAATACCTGGAAAAAGTTTGCTGAAAATTGTAAAGATTAAATTAGATTTTCTAGCCCAGCCTCAATCTTTTAGTTGTATTGTCGCTGATGTGATGATGATCGTGTTTATGCTTTATGAGGAGATTTGAGTGAAAGTGTTTCTGCAACAACCTGCCTGTTCAAACAAACACTTTTAGTTTAGCCAAAGGAGGAACCCCCGCTCCGAGTGCAAAGAAACCGCTGTGCTCAAATCAGCCAAACAAACATGAATCCGTCTTTTATGAATCGGCGGTACTGCTGACTGTAAACAGGAACAGCTTACAAAAACAGCTCAAAAAGGAAATTCACAGGTATTAGTCCGTCTGCAGGGGAAAAATACAACTTTTCCTGGGATATCACAAAGTGCAGCTCAGTATTTATTTAGCCTAGGCCATGTTTTTTTTATATATATTTTACATATTTTTGGAGGGAATTTCTAGGGCTGCTATTTCATCCTTGTAGCAGACGTACCCACTCAAAGTGCATATGTCATTGTCACAGAAAGGCTCTGATTTTTATTCTAAGAATCTGACAACATTACAGAAAGGATCACTACAGAGAGACTTTTTTTAAGGGGGGAACTCACACTAGTCAATCCGTAGCCTGCCCCAAAAGTTCAATTAGTTTAGTCACAAGTATGAAGTATGTGTGCTTGGGCTCGGTGCAGTTGCTCAAGCAAGAGCAGAAGCATAGGTACACAACGTGGGCATGAAGTATAATCGATCCCTGCGTGCCTGTGTTCTGGTTGTATCTGACTAAAATGACTCAAGCCACAAAGATGGTGAATGCAGTCATACCGTGCTTCAGCGTTGTACTGAGAAACTTTGTGTAGTGTGAGTGCACCCTAAGTCGTAGATGATTACATGACTCTCTTCAAAGACACCAGACTCCATTGACTGAAACAGACATGTTTCCTGACAGAACACAGGAGCTGCTGTTTTCATGCCGCCTTGACGTGTTACTTTGTTTTTGTTGTTGTGTGACTTTGGTTTGGTAAATGGAAAGTTTGGATCCAACACTTGTGATAATGTGTTACACACAGAATCATAAAAAATTAACAAACTGAAGCAGCTCAGGTTAATGTTTGATGTAAAATTACTGGTGTTTTCGATGGAGTCTGGTGGCTTTGAAGAAAGCAGCGTTTCCAGATTTATTTATTTTTAAGGTTTATTTTGAGGCTTTTTATGCCTTGAGCAGGAGCTCCACAAACACACACAGTCAGACATGCACGCACACACACAGCGCTGCACTCCCCAACTGGCTCCAAACACTTAACACACTGTTACCACCACATGGTATGGAGGGGTGACCAGTTTGTCCCTCCATTACGGCTCTGCGACAGTCAGATTGAACGGTCACAGGGTTGTAAATATTGCGACTTGGGACAAGGGGAATCAAAGCTGTCGAGTCCTGTATGAAATCTAGTTCAAGTTTTGTCTTTTTTTATGAAGAGTATGCAGCAACCCTTAAATAATCGAAGCAAGAACACTCTGCTCAGTGTTCCCTAAAGGATTATGTTTGACCATCGCTGTCTTTCACACTGCTGCAGGCTGAACAAATCAACTGGAGTTATTTCAAATGTTTTTTTAGTCCCCTTTTTTTAGCCAAAAGTATGTAATAATCAGGACCAGAATAACCGATACCAGAGTTAGCCTTAAACAGCAGACTGCCATGTCGAGTCTATGACAGCTGTTCTTCAGTGCTTTTTCTCTTCATAGCCAAGCAGCAGGTCCTCGGCTCACTCTCTGAGGTTAAATATTGTCTTTTGAGTAACATGAGAGACTGCTCCCTGCTCTTCTGTTTACTCTGTTATGGGCTCAGAAGCTAAGAAGAGGTGGCTTGTAGCTGAGAATACACACAGTGAGGATGAGCCTATATTTGGTCCTTTTTTTTTCCCCCAGAGCTTTCATAAAGGAAGTGTATTTCCTGCTCCGTCAGCTTCACAGAGGTTTTAGTTGGCTGGAAAGAAGCTGATGTTCACTTTGGTGTCCATAATCTCCAGATGACGAACATGACATGTTGAGAAGCACATTTTTGACACATGCTGAGACTTCAAAAAATCCCCTTAGCGGATGTATGACCTGCTTTATTTGCTCGTCGTTTTGACTCTTTGCTCTTTCTCTTCTCTCTGTAGACGCTGAGGATCGACTGGTGGACTCTTTTCTTTTTTTTTTTTTCTTCGTCTTCTCTGAATCCTCAGACTCTGTCATCCAGACCCAGGAGGGAGTACGTGAGGTTGCCACGGCTACTCTTTAAACGCCGATTTTCTTTTTTCTTTCTTCCACATGGCTGGTGGTGGAAGTAGCCGCCAAGGTGGAGCGTCTCTGAGACTGGATAAGGGAGCAAAAAAAGGCCAAGCGCCACGTGGTCTATAGAACTCTTCCTCTTTTTTTATTTGTTAGATTTAATCATATTTCAATAGAGCCGACACTACAAGGACCCAAATGTATTTATTATCTGTTCTGGTTTAATATGAACTTGTCTGCTACAATCTCACAAAACCTCCCGGTCTGCTGCTGTCTTTATCGCGGCCCTCGCCGCCGCTGATGTGTTCACTGCGAGGTTGTCTGGCCACAGGAAGCCGCTGGCATCTTCCCCGACCCCACCCTTCCCCTGGACATGAGACCCTTTTTCCGGAGGTTTAAAAAGTCTTACCATGAACCCTCTTAATTATGAAACTGTGAACGGCTCCATCTGACTGTTCAAGCTCCCTAGCGATCAGTGTTTCCATCCTCGTCGCCTTCTGTCTCATCTGTGGATGTATTTATACTGAGCTCCTTTTCCTCTCCAGAATCATCTTGTGTCTCTTTTCATTTCATTTTTTACCCCTTAGGAGTAACATCATGACAGCCAACGTCCCCCTAGTTCATCCCGAGAATCCTTTCTTTCCATCACTTTACTTATTTAATGCGTCACGTTTAAGAAAAAAAAGCACTTTATCTGTACCTTTGGTGGCCTGCTGTAAGCTCCCCGTCTGAAACACTATTGTGAGATTACAGCCCTAACAGGCAGCAGGGGAGTTCACAAGTCTTTGTGGTTGACTATCCATGGCCTTGGAGATACAAAAAAAAAAAAAACCTTTTTATTTTATGTTATTATAGGATTTTGGGGGGCACCAGACACGGATGGTTGTGTACACTGTATTCTGCATTTGGTGTGTTCCTCTCACTCACTACAAAAATCCACGTTTAAAGGGGAATTCTCATATTTTCTAATCACTGACCTCGATTTATTTGCATACTTAAGAGTCGACTCAAAGGTTGACTTACAGGTTGAAAGTTTTGGAATTGGTCCAGAAGAATTTCTCAGCCTGCAGCAGTGAAACCCTAAATGTTTTTGTCCCTAACAGGCTCTTGACCTTTTTTTGGGGAATATGATTATTTTAAAGGTTACATATTATGCAAAATACTCTTCACCATGTTTTCTTTAACTCTAATGTGTCTCTAGTCCATCTACAAATCCCCCAAAGATGAGAAAAGTCCACCCTCTCCATCTTCTGCCTGCTCCACTTTTCAGAAAATGTGTGACAGCTCTACCAAACTCCATTGACAAATTCTGTGATTTTAACTTGCAGAAAACACAAATTGTTGGCCAGTATCTGCCTTCAGTGATTACTTCTTTGTGATTCGCCGATTAAAGTAAAGTTCTTTAAACATTGAACAAAAGGACGTACCAAATGAATACGTTAAAGCATCCGTCAGCAAGCATCTTTAGTTTTCGGTCGGATAAAATGACTGTTTTTGTGGATGGAGTTTGGTGGCTTTTGAAAACTGGGACATCGAGGTTCAAAACAATCATCTTCTTCCCTAACATAAAGGTCTGTCTCTGTAGGGAACCTTTCTGTAATATCATTATACATTTAGAATAACAACATGAGCCTGTCAGTGACGAGAAAAACATCTTTTAGTGGGTTGTTTTTATTGATAAAAGATTACGTAGCAGCCATTACAGCCTGTTTCACTACTGCAGCCTTAAGAAATCCTCTGGAGCCATTCCAAACCTCTTGAACGTTTTAGTTAATGAGTTGCCCAAAACATTTTTTTTTTTTTTAAAGGGGGTTGTTCTTTGTTTAAAAAATACTTGAATTCCCGTTTAAAATTTCCACTGGAGAAACCCAGGTGATCAGTCGTGTCGGAGCCCCTTCTGCATCATCAGTCAAAGCTTTATGAGTGACATTTGGTAGAACATGAAATTGAACAACATGCTGTAAGAAAACTGTGAATTCAGCGGCTCAGTGTGCCGAACAGAAGCTCTCCGCTCGTCACAGGCTGCAGTTATTGAGTCATCGGGCTGAAGCAGACTGTAATGCCGACCTTTAGTGACCTTTGTGTTGAAAGCAGCACTGTTTGCATAGGGGGAGGGGGGCAGCAGTGAAGGTAGGAGACCACATGGAGGTCTGTATTAAAAAAAAACGTACTAAAGATTGCACACAGCCGGCCAGCCGTGTCCTCTGCCTGTCTGGGAACATGACGTTCAGTTTGAGGCTCAATGAGAGGAGTGTGTTTATCGAGGGGGGAGGGGGAGGTGGTTTGGGGTGGGGGCAGGTAACACACACCTGTTCTGATAATCTTTGGTTTGACTGTTTGCTGTCGAGCTCGGCTAGATTCCAGGCAGCCTTACACATCGAGGAGTGGGAGAGTTATAAACGTACGAATGCCTGAGAAAGAAATAACGTTGTCAGGATTTCCTGTGCGCGAGCAACACGGCGCTCTACTGTTGCCCACGTTGGTCAATGTTATTGGCAATTTATTTTTTTGTTTTCTTTTTTACATGTACTGTACATAAAATAAAATATAAAGCAATAACCCTGCTGTCGTGGATGGTTCACTTTGTCGTAACTGATCGGATGAGAGAGCTTTGTTTGATTTCATTTGACTCGTGGTCAGATTCTTTATCAGTGCGCCGGCAAACATTGCGGAAAGATCACATCTCCCAAGATCAACCAACCACACAAGGTGGTTAAAGGTGTCCTCCTGAGCGGAGCCGTTTAGGTTGGTTGTCATCAGCGTTAGCCTCACTGAAGTTGATCACAACAGGAAGTCTTCCAGCCTGTGACTAACGTTTGTGATGGTTGGTTTTAATATGGCTCTTTGTGTCGCCATTTCCACTATGTGCAGCTAAAAAAAAAAGACTACAGTGTATGCAAGACTCATCATTCATTGGCTGGTACTTTGTTGAAGAAAGTTGAAACTCTCTTTTGATCTTTGGAAAACTCTGACTTCCTTTCCGGCATGCCAGTCAGGTTCCAGTTCAAACCCAGAGGAAGTGCGCCGACCGCTGAAGCTAATTTCATATGATGGTTGGAACTGGTACTGCAGCGCCACATGATGCCAATGGGCCCAAAATGATGTTTCTCATAAGCTTACATTAGGAAAGAGACTTTTATAAATAAGATGATTTTTTTTCTTTTTGAGGGACATGAATTTCCCGATACAAGGAAATAGGAATGGGAAATAATGGGCCCCCGCCTCTTAATGCAGTATCCACTCTATGATACATCCCTGGTCCTGTTAGCATGATGAGCTACAGCTGCAACCCACAGATTTATTGACACGTGTACAGACAAAACTGGGTCAGGGACGTATAGATATTTATTGGGACTCTGGACACAGTTTTCGGTAATTGGTGCTCCGAATCTAAAGAGGAACCATTTTTAAGGCAACTATGACTTTAACATTTAAGGAGACTTTTTATCAAACACACCCTGCAGTGCTGTGATTGTATCTTTGCTAAAGGTCCAACAGTAACAGGCTCTACGTTTAATCCCTCCTTATATCTCTCTTCCTCTCTGCCCTCGTCATCCGTCCCCCAGAGGCCAGGCCGTGACATGCATGTTGATTTGTAACCTCAGAGTCATAAATAGGAGCGGTTATGTATGAGCGTTTCATAATAACTCGTGTGCAGCTCAGAGGACAGGCGGTCTGTGAAGGTGAGCCGACCCCGTCGTCTGTCTGTCTATCTCCTGTGCAGATCTCTTCAACTGCAGGTCTCCCCTCCCCCCACACCTGCTCTGCTTTCGTAACTCTGCACTCGTGTTTCCAGTGAAGCAAAGCCTCGAAACAAATGCACAGATTAAACAAGGATGGATTTTTAAAAAAAAGAAAGGAAAAAAAACTGTCTGGTGTCAAACATCTAATCTCTGAATTGTTTCCACAAAACAAAACTTGAAAATCCAGTCAGAGGATTATACATGATGGTATATATAGTATGCCCCGATATGTGACCATCGGTGGTACACAATGCATTGTGGGATATGATGTGTCTATTATGTAGAGTATGATGATGCTCATTCATCGTTGGGTCACCACGTTTAATGCTCTTTATAGTGAGTAGTGTGTGGTTTCAGACAGCCCGATTCAGTTGTTTCTGATGATATAGGTCGACCGGAAAAAAGGTCCAATAGTAACTCGCTGACAGGGGCGCTCACATCGAGTTGGACGCACATCGAGCTGTAACCTATAAGCTTGACGTCACTGTGCATGCAACGTACTGAAGGACAGAAAACTATGTTCTGTATATGTGTGGTGATCCTGCAGGATTATCCATCATTGTGTAGTTTTGATAAAGCGTCACACCGAAGCATCACAGATCTATTCCTTTGGTTTTTTGAAGTGTAGAAGCAGGTGTGCAGGTCACTATACCACCAAAGACCTGAAGCCCAGCTGAGTCCAAACCTGTTTGTGTCTTTAGAAAGCATTTAGATTACCCTGCACGGGGTCTGCCCTATGGTCCCTCAGGCCGACCTTCCCCCTGCAGCAGGGCCGGCCCATTTTATGATTTGGATGTGTGACCTTGTATTCACTGCTTTAGTAATACTGATCATAGGGTGAACATATATGAACATAAACATAGGGTTGAGGGAACAATGACTATCTGTGAGAGATCCTCTGTCACAGCTTGAAGGTCAGAGTGGAGATAAAACCGAGATTTACAGTTCAGAAACACACATCTGGTTCTTCCTCTTGTGTTTGTGTCGGCTGAAGCTTCTGTTGGTTTTTCTTGTTTGTCTTAAATCTGTTTCCTCCTGCAGGCGAGTCGTCGCCATCTGAGGCTGTTTGGCTCGGTGACTTTGGCTTAATGTTGCTCTGTCACTCTGTGCAGGTGAGGATGAGGAGGAGGAGGAGGAGGAGGAGGGAGGGGCTCACTGTGGAGGCACACACACAGAAAAACACAGTCATTAGAGTGTGAAACAAAGAGTGTGTGTGTGTTTGCTGCAGGCAGGACAGCAGAGATCTCTCCTGCTGGGGGGAGTTTTTATGAAGTGAAGCCAACCCCCCCTCTAACTGTGGCTCCTCTGGGTATGAAGCAGGAAACGTCTCATCCTATTTATTCACAATCGGCATTTTGGCATGCATGCTGCAATAATATCTTATATTGTCATTAGATTCCATTTTTAGTGATCTGCATTTGGATAGAAATAAATGCACATGTCAACACGTCATCAAGAACATTGACTAGAATTAGATTCTATTCTGTGTCTCTTTGGGTTTAGTATAACTAAATATAACCTAATGAAATGCTCAAGAAGGTCAAAATGATGCCAACGAAGAAGAAGCCATTGAGCTGCAAACAACACATGCATGCAGCCAAACCCAATATGATACAAACAAACAACACAAATAACAGAAACTCTGCAAGTTGCACCCAACAGAGACTGCATCTGCTTCAAGGCTTCACATACCGATCATACCAGAGCATGCCAGTTGTTCGCTGCATGGATTAGCCACAGATGTACAGCTACAGTCTGTACATTATGTGGATAGCATTTTTATTAAAATGTTTTTCCTAAGCGGACATCGATGTTGTATGCTGCATTGTGCATTCAGAGTAAGTTTTTGTCTGTATTGAGTGTTCAGAAATTCTTGTACATATTCATAAATCTGCAGTGCATTTGTTATTCACTCAGGTTAACTGAATCGTAAGTGTACCAGTGATGTGTCGGTTGTAAATAAGCTGGCTCATTTCCCACCAAGCAGTCCACTTTTGGTAAGGTATGTACGCATTTTTTTTGCTGTTAAAAGTTAGCAGTGGTACAAAACTAGTTCTCCGGCTAGAACTAGACACAGTGCAGTCTGTTGGTTGGACCTCTGCTGGACGTCCTCCATTGTTGCCCTTTGTTTACTGCGTCGCCTTCTTCTTCTTCGTTGAATTTATTGGCGAGCTACACTGTGTCACGCTTTTGTCATGCTATTACGTAGCTGATGCTGCTATCGCCATCTGGCTAACACTCCGCTTCCCAACTAAGGGTTCAGTTTGCTGAAACACAAGCAAGATCAGAGTTTACTGTACCAAACGGTTCTGAACCAAACCGGACCGCTTGGTGGAACCGGGGCTTTTATGTGAACGATGGGCGCCAGCTCCCGTCAGAGAGCTGTTTTCCTTTTCTTTCCCTCCATTTTTGTTGTTATTTAAAATCCCACAGAATGAAGGGGATATCTTTTCTCCACTGGTTGTGTCGTCTGGATTAGCAGTGTGTTGCTGTAGTGAGTTCAGCCATCTCTCTAAATTTGCAGCATGACTTTGCATTAGGTTGTTTCAGCATGCATCATTCTGTGGCTTTTCATGTTTCTCTTTTTTTCCCCCTGTTTGCATGTTATTTTCTTAATAGTATAATATAATAATATAATATATTAGTGTGCTGCATGGAGCTCCTCGTTGGACGCCACGACAAAGACCAGGGAGATATTTTGTAATCATCTCCAAACAGGTGGAGGTGCTGACCTGGATCTCTCTGCCTGCAGTCTGCAGAGATGAAGCAGGCTGAACACATTCATATTTTAAAACCTGCAGCTCGTAGTTTCACAAACCGGTTCCACCACAAGGCAGGAGGGAACAACGTCCTGCTGTTGATGTAAAAACACACACACACACACACACACAGATACACATCATGCTTTCACAACAAACACGCTGCCTCTCAGTAATCCGTGTATTTCCTGGAGTTAACACACAAACTGAAGCATCCGCATGTTCTCGTTATAACACAGAAACTCTGCTCCTTCACGGATCAGTGCAGACCAAATCTGGGACATAGAAAGAAAAAAAAAAAGGGGGGAGGCACATGGCGGTGGGATGCCGTGTGCAATTACTGCTAATGATACGGCTCCATGCAAGCTGTGGTCATAATTACCTCAGGAGGAAGGCCGGCCTGTGCGAGCCGTGTGTGAGGGGACGAGGCTGAGAAAGTAAACCTGTCCTGACATTATTCAGACAACATGTCTGCCTCTCAGATCAGGCCTGTTTGGGTGGTCTCGGGTCGGGAGAAACCTGAGGCGGATGTTAATGGAATTGTCCTCTGGAACTTGAGCTTAAACTGGCTTTACTCAGGAGGGTGTGGACAGGCACACTGGTTGAACTGGAGGTCAGACAGAGACTGTACAAGTGTATTTATTGACAAGTGTGGAAGCTAGACGCTTCAGGAGAAAGCAGAAACAGAATCATCAAATGTTACATCATAAAAATGTACGGCAATTTAAATCTAATATGACAGAAAATATATTTCAAAATGTCCTAACAGCAAGCAGACAACCATTTGCAGCCATTATTAAAATGTGTTGTTTTTACTTGCTCTACTCATCGTGATGCTCACAGTTTAAATTTCATCTCATATTTCAACATATATCCAGAAAGGAGCCGGGGGCGGTTACAAATCTGAACCTTTTTTCAGCCCCCTGTCCTCAAAACAAAAGTGCTAAGTTACAAATCTCAGTAACTTAGCAACCAGTACGACTTGCATGCTGTGGTATGATTGGTATGGTAAACCTGACACTTATGCAACTTGCAGAGTTCCTGTGTGTTTTTGTGT